TTGGGGGGGGGGGGGGGAAGAGAGGGAGAGAGGGAGAGAGAGAGAGATGGAAGAGAAGTACCGCAGATAGAAAGCGACCAGACAGCGGCGCAATATACCTGGCAGCTGTTGCTGGGATGTGGGCCTGTGGCCACGCAAGTGGTGTCGGCGATTCGGCAATAGCCGCTGACGATGGTGGGGCAGTAGCCGGTAGCCTTTTGACATATGCTGCAGCTCAAGGCACAGGGTCCAATGCAGTTCTTGCAACTCAGCGCGGCTGTCTCGTCCTGGTACGTGCCATCCGCACAATTCTACAAAAGATGCCAGGAAAGTCATGCGGCGGGCAGTCATCTACGAGTGTCACTGGGAAAGATGGCACAATGCGAATGCTAAAATGCCGTTTTGTGTCGCTTAATGACTGACCTTGCAGGACGATTTGCCGGGCTGGTTCTGGTACTTGGCTACCTGGCAGTTGTTGCAGTTGAGCTGCCGAGTCAAGGCTTGGTACTTGCCAGCGGGACAGGCTTTGCACGTGGCTTGGCCCAAATCATCATTGTAGTAGCCCACTGAACAGTCTTTGCAAGAGGTCTGGCCGGTTTGATCCTGGTATTCACGTTGTGGGCAATCGGTACAAGTTGTCGTGCTGACCCAATACTTGCCCGTATTGCAGGCAGAGCAGGCATAGGCCTTGGCCGAGGGCGCCACGGTGCCCGTGGCACAGTTGATACAACTCGAGGCACCCGTTGAGCCTTGATACTTGCCAGGGTCGCAGTTGTAGCAAAATGTTTGACCCGTGCTGCCCTGATAGGTGCCCTTGCCACAGATTTTGCATGCCGACTGCGCCGTCTGATCGGCATACTGTCCAGTGGGACAGTTACCACAGCCGGACTGACCCGTACTTGGTTGATATTTGCCTCGATCACATGCCACGCAGCTAGTCTGGCCCGTGGAGCCCTGGTAGTAACCCGCCGAGCAACTCACGCAACCGCTTTGGCCAGCCGACGCCTGGAGCAGAGACGATCAAGGATTAATCAACACACAAGAACGAAACAGAAAAAAAAAAAAAAGAAAAAAGAAAAAAAAAGAAAAGAAAAGTAAACAGAAAAGAACAAAAAACACAACCCATAAACAAGCAAAATAGCACAGCTGAATAAACACGCAGCCGAGTACAAGCGTGGTGGGAGAAGATGAGAGAGACAGACCTGCACTTTTCCAGCCGGGCAGGATTTGCAGCCGGCTTGACCAGATTGATCTTGATATTTTCCCGGAGGACAGGTAGAGCAACCGGTGGCACCAGTGGACGAACTGTATTTGCCCGTTGGGCAAGATTTGCAAGCGCCCTGACCCGTTTGGTCGGTGTACTTGCCGGACCCACACGAGTAGCAAGAACTCTACAAAAACATTCACACCAGGCATGAGAGTGACCGCAGAGGTACCAGCAAAGTCAAGTCACATTAATCGCGCAATGTCTTCGGTGCCAGACTGTTTGTACGCTGGTAACTCTAACCTGGCCTGTGTAGGGCTGATAGGAGCCCCTGCCACAGCTTTTGCAGCTGGAGGAGCGAACTTGATCGGCATAGGTACCAGTCGGACAGGAAGAGCAGCTCGTTGAGCCAGCACCGCTGTATTTGCCCGCGGAACAAGAGTAGCAGGCGTCCGTGTTGGACATGGTGGATACGGGTTTGTTTTGATAGTAGCCAGCGTTGCAGCTGCAGTAGTTGGTGTAACGGGGACTGGGGCAGAGAAGGTAGATGGTAAGCACGAATGACATTCTCGTTTGGCCATGGCTTGACAGATTGAACGATAATACGAGGTGGGTGGGGGGGGG